TAAAAACCCACATTTTACCAACCAAAAATAGTTTCCCATTTTAAAAAGAAACACCTTTCTCTTTGCCATGTTTTCTGATAATCACAGTTAATACTGACTTACATGACACACTCAAAACATTTACTCCAGGTCAGACTTGAATGGACGGCATAAAATTAATTTTGTAACCAATATGCAGTATATTGTAGACAAAAGCCATTTTGTTTTGGAAAGCGGAGGCTGGATCTTCTTAGGGTCTCGACTTGATTACGCCCGAAATAAGATGGTCTGACACGAGTGAGGCCAGGATGGCCTGTTAACTAATGCACAGATTACCTTGCCGCTGGCACTCGGACAATCAAGGAAGCCCCAGTCAAAATTCTTTCGAATCCACCCTTTCATTTTTTGAAGCACAGCAAATGAATGGAAAAACATATTCACAGGCATCTTTTGTTCAGGTGAAAGCTCTGGGAACAGCTGGAGAACATTTATTGCCTAGACAACAAACCACTCGTCGCCTACCTGCTGTGGATCTCAGAATGCAGCATCGATCTCCTCCACCTTCTGAGTGATGGGCGTTGTCACTCACTAATCGGGAGCCTCATTGTCCTCAGCGACCATTTCTCAAGTCCTTCCTTGCCCTCCATGGTACCATTCCAGCAAAGCACTGCTCACTTCATTAAGGAGTCCAGTAAGGGTTTTTGTGTTCTTTAGCTTCCTTCTGCAGTTCCTGAAAAACACTAACAAACACGGGGTACCACTTAAAGAGTTCGAACAGAATTTTCCTTAACTGTTCTTGGGCTAACGTCCTTTTCCCGGCCAATAATGTGACGCTTGGCCATCCCCTACAGTTTCAGTTAAGTTAAATAAACCTTGTTATTTAAAGCTATTTGCAAAAAAAAAAAAAAAAAAAAAAAGGAAAGTGTTTCCTTGAAGAGTTCAAAGAAAAAATCATTGTCGACAAGGCAAGATTTATCTTTTGAAATTGAATATAATATTTAAATTTGGGAAACAAAACAAGCAAGTTAACATGTATTATGCTTCGCTTTCTGGGAACCTCTAAGTAATCAGTAACAGAAGAGTTTAAAAAAAAAAAGAGGAATTAAGGCAGAATTAAGTGACCTTCAAAAGGAGGACATACTGGCTTTCAATCATTCTAGTGGAATCATTGCAGGCTCAGTGAGCCTGACCTCACCAACTCTCCTTCATCTGTCTGTGATCATACTTCAGGGGTGATAAAAACAGAGACCGATTATCTCTGAAAAGAAGAATGATTAGCATGGCCGGGTATATATTGATTATTTAATTAGACAGCCCACCCCTGCTATTTTACAGAAATATTGTTAGTCCAACAAAACTGTGTGTATCTCTGAAACAATGATGGTTTCCTTTTCTTCCTGCTTCTCATCACTCTGTCTCTTGCGTAATAAGACTCTTAAAACAAACCAAATGTACTTGTTTTCACTCTTGCGTTCCTAAAAGTTTTAACAGATGATCTGCTGCCAATTCTGCGGGGTTCCCCGCCCACCAAGGCATCTTTCAGCGTAACAGAATGACACAAGGCAAATTACAATTTGATTCCCGTGGTGAATAAGACTCCTTATAACAAACTGATCCCAAATGTATAGGTCAGAGCATACTTTTTGCCTCATTGTGCTTGGCTTGCTGCTTCTCCTTTGCAGAACCTGAGTTTCATACGACAGTAATTCCACCTCCACTCTGTCCAGCCACGTACACAGGTCTTCGTGCGTGGGAGTGCAGCCGTCTCGCGAACTGCAAGGCCTGCTCCAGAGTCTTGGCCACGTCGTGCTCAATTTAGTAATGTCTTTGTACCTAGCTTTGATTGGCTTCCAATTTATCTTGAATTATCAAACTTCATCACTAAAATTTTCAAAGGCAATGTTATTTCTTATGAAACTACAAAGTTGGGAAAGAGGGGGGCGGGTGGCAGGTTCTTCAGATATTATGGCTCACTGATGAAAATTTTCTTGGGGGGGAAGAAAAAAGAGACATTTTTCTAAAGATGATCTGACCTAAAAGAAGCCCTTTTCTAGATTTTAATCCTTCCCAGGATTCCAGGCAAATCTAAACCGTTCTGAAAATACAAACGCACAAACTGGAAAGTGCCTTTAGGTATGTGCAAGGCAGTACTTTTGTGTCTATATACCAGGCTTTCGGTTTTCAAAGAACAGGGGTTTAGAAACCGCCTGAGTTCAGACAGTGACCTTGTGCATGGCTTTAAAAGCGTGGGTTACTTTGGGCAAGATGCTTAACCTCTCTGCTCTTAGTTGCTCATCATTGCTCAACGGCACTATTCTTGGTGGATCTTTAATCTAATCCTCTGCCTCATTTTTCAGACACACAGAGAAACTGCATCCTGAGCTTCAGACTTAACTCAAGGCTTCTAGATATCATATTGAATTTCTCTTCTCATAATAAATGGTACTTGCCCCCACCTCCCATTATTATTGCTGAACTGGACATAGGTACAGTGAAATCCCTACGACCAAAGGAATCACTAAAACAAGTTAGTCTCTTCTGAGTTGTTCTAAAATCTTCTCACACAGATATTAAATCAAGCGTTTCTTAGCGATTCAAGCATGAAGAAATGAAGCCCGTATATAGCCATGTATATAACCATAATGGTATGTTACTGCAATGCATCTATCTTTAAAAAAAAGAAAAAAAAAAAAAAAACTGTCTACAACCTATGTGTTCATTTGCCTTCCACAAGTGGAAAACTAATGTAACTCTGTCGTGGGCTTCTCTGACCAGCTCCTGTGCCAAAGTGCTTTTAGAGTAATACACACAACTTCCATCAAGAACTCAAGAGAGACCATGAGAAAAAGGTGAGATCTATTTTAAACCCTCCCCCCACCGATTTGTCTTCAAAGCATTTCTCCAGAATGAAGTCTTGGAACGGCCCCAAATTATAAAGTGTTTTGTTTTGTTCCCATCCCTAAAATATTTTTGAAAACAATGCAAAATGCTGGCTGCACGATTATTTGATTTGAAAGATAGCTCACCTGTGGTTTGTTTAAGCAGTTCTAAACCGTTTAGTAATGCCTGATCTACATTTTGTTTCCTGAGTAAGATGTCCTCTTGCAGAACCTAAAAACACAGGTACAGTTTTTATGCATGAGAGAAAAAATTAAGTCAGCATTAGCATTAGATAATCTCAGAGAAACTTCAAGTAGGTTTCACAGAGATATATTTGAGGAGATACCTCACATTTTCAAATATTCATTATTGTTCCCATGTTCATGCCTCTTCTTTTCCCCACTGTGCCCCATGTCCCATGTTCATGTAATTCACAGCATTCTCCCTTTCTGAAAATACTTAATGCCCTATGGAAATGGGCTAGGTGGAAGTACTGGGGTGCTACGTAATGATGGGTCTTTGCATCCAGCAATAAAATAACAAAATGAAAAGTGAAAGATCCAGCCAAGAGGATAAATGCAATCTCTTTTTAAAGATGACTTCATTAAAAGTAATCTGTATATATTAGGCGAAATCTTTTTTTGAGTACAGCGATTCCTCTAAATCATAATGAACATAAATAACACAGAAATAAGAAGACTGAGAAAATAATGACAACTGAAATGAACAACAACAACTAAAAATGAAATGAAATAAATGAAAATACCCGAAGTTCAGCCTGCTGCTCCCACAGCCCCTCGGGGCTGTACTCCTGGACTGAGAGCTTGCTCAGTTTGCCATGCACTTCATTCAGCCAGTTCATCAGCTCAACTTCATCTTCCCCAAAATCTTAGCATTACACAAGGCCTGCTGGAGGAGCTCAGACCTGCTGTGACTTTTCTCTTGAATCTCAATGTACCATACTTGAGAGAAGTCTAATTTAATCTGCACCATATCTTTATCCTCCCTGGAGCTCAGAACCTTTAAGGACTGGCCAATGCTAACAGCCTGGTGTAAATGTTTATTGTGATTCATGATGTCATCTTCTAAGGCCTAAATGAAGTTTAAGAAAAGAAAGAAGAAAAACAAAGAATGGACAAATAAAAATGAAAACATAAACAAAACTAAAGAGCATGACATTTGAAATGGATTTGGTTTGCAATTACGCATAACACAACAATAGTACATAAATCGAATTTATGTCACAAAAACACAAAATAAAAGCTGAATCTTACTAAATGTGTGAGTTTATATCTTACTTTGTGCTGTGCAATCTGTTCCTCAAGTTTGGATGCTTGGGTTCCTATGGGTTCACAATTCACCAGCCTCTTTTCCACGGTTGTAAGCCACTCATTCAGTGGTTCTAAAGTTTCATGAAATTGCTGTGCTACCACCGAGATACCTTCCAACTGACGATTCCTACAAATGTGCCAAAACAAAGGTCATTTAGGGATGAAGAATGTGTGAAATATTCAACAAAAATCTTCAGTCATGCTCCTGAATTCTATTCTAAACCCTTTTTGCAGAAACTATCAAGGTTAAAATTTAAATCTCTAGGCCGGGCGAGGTGGCTCACGCCTGTAATCTTAGCACTCTGGGAGGCCGAGGCGGCGGACTGCTCAAGGTCAGGAGTTCGAAACCACCCTGAGCAAGAGTGAGACCCCCGTCTCTACTATAAATAGAACAAATTAATTGGCCAACTAATATATATAGAAAAAATTAGCCGGGCATGGTGGCGCATGCCTGTAGTCCAGCTACTTGGGAGCTGAGACAGGAGGATTGCTTGAGCCCAGGAGTTTGAGGTTGCTGTGAAGCTAGGCTGACGCCATGGCACTCACTCTAGCCTGGGCAACAAACAAGACTCTGTCTCAAAAAAAAAAAAAAAAAATTTAAATCTCTAACATTGAAAGGGCATGTTAAAATAGATTTCAATTAGATAAAATTAAAGTTGAACAACAGGTCATCCTCAAGCCTGAATCTCATGAAAGTCTGAACCAATCTTTTTATAATACTTCTAATAATTATAGTTATAATAATAATGGCAATGTTATAATAACAATAGCAATAATAATGACAATAATAGGTAATATTTACTGAATTTATTCTGTGCCAGGTCCTGTTTTAAGTGCTTTATGTATCAATTTTGACTGGAACACAAGTTTCTGAGATTGCTTTTAATCAAATGGTCAAAACTGGATTCAAATTTTGGAGAGCATACATATTTCCTTAGTGGAATGAACAGTGATGCCTACTTTATAAAAGTTCAGTGTCAGGAATATTTCCAAAAGCAACAGTTAATATTTTATGGATTAAAATATGAATAGAGGAGAAATATTCCAAAATATTCCTTGGACTTTTACTTGTAGTTTGAAGTACTTTTAGAAAACACATTGTTTCCTCAATTGCAGAGGACTCATGTAAATTAAAACCGGCTTCGTCTGTTCTCAGTGTTTATCTAGGGCAACTGATTTGTATGCAGAATACTTGATTCAGTATCAAATCCTATATATCATTTCTGCTGGGATCAAGAGTTGTTGTCTTAACTTCTTATCATGTTAATTTTAGAGAATTATATAATTTGGGAAATTAGCTTTCTATGGGGAAAAAGGAATTATGAAAATTGGCCAAGCTACTAAATACAATTTCTGTATCAATATACCACAAACTATACACACGATATTTTTTAAAACTTTCAATTGAAATACACTTGATGGTAAAAAAAAAATGAATAAAATTGTTATATTCTTTTTAACTTCTGGTTATCAGTATCTATGACTCTTTTTTTCTAAATTCTAATAATCTAGAATCACTGGAAATAACTATTTTGTGATGGGTTTAATTTACTATGATTTAAATTATGAACAATAAATCTGGGTGTGAATCATAACCATTACCAACATCCCTCCATTTATTATTACTGTGAGGAGGTTTGGGGAAATAAGACCAGTTATGGCAGTAAAGCAGAGATCTAGACATTCATTCATTTATTTTTTTTAAAATTACTGAGAGTATCTTCCATCACAGCCAAGGCACAACATCCTACGCTATTACACAAAAGGGTTAATCTGCTGACACACATTAAGGACAACATGAGACTTTCAGACTCCTTAGAGCACCTCATTCTATGGTCCTAAGACTAAAAATAGTTATACTCCATAATTCAAAATTAGACAAATCCTTCTCTTCACCATTCTAGCTCCAAAAAAAGTAGAAATTTATGGAACATACTCATTCAGTTCAATGGTTTATCTATTTTCAATCCAACCAGCATAGATGGCTACTCTTCAATGAAGCTACCACTTAATGCTGGTCAGTGTGGCATCAAATGCAGAGATAAAATATGGGTTGGGATTTTGTAATGAGAAAACTGCTGAGAACAAACACAAACCCAGTGGTGCTGAGCTCTAGGCTTCATGGCCTCCATGAAGTAGGCACCTTCCACTCGCTTTGTTTCCCAGCTAACCCCTATTGCTTCCTTAAAACTTAGCTGTCATTCCCCTGCCCCAGACTAGGTTCACATACTATGCTCCCACAGAGCTTTGTATTTTAGCTTTGAAACATCACATTTGTCATTATTCTCAATGGCTATAAACCCTTCTAGACTGTACCCTATCTGAAGGCAGAGATGATCTGTCCAGGTCACTCCTGTAACCCAAGGCTAACTCAGTGCCTGAAGTATGCATGGTAGACAGGCAGTAACTATGTAATAAACAAAGGAATGAATCACCCTCAAGGAAATTTTTTTTTATTTTATTTTTTGAGATAGTCTCACTTTGTTGCCCAGGCTAAAGTGCCGTGGCGTCAGCCTAGCTCACAGCAACCTCAAACTCCTGGGCTCAAGCAATCCTTCTGCCTCAGCCTCCCGAGTAGCTGGGACTACAGGCATGCGCCACAATGCCCGGCTAATGTTTTCTATATATTTTTAGTTGGCCAATTAATTTCATTCTATGTTTTTAGTAGAGACAGAGGTCTTGCTCTTGCTCAGGCTGGTTTAACTCCTGACCTTGAGCAATCCATACACCTTGGCCTCCTAGAGTGTTAGGATTACAGGCGTGAGCCACCACCCCCAGCCAAGGAAATGTTTGTATTAAAACAAAGAGTTGGGTCATAACTGGTGATTACAAGACATTCACATCAGAGGAATGAGGAAAGAGACATTAGTCTTTGCTCTTTATGCCCACATACACGATAAACATAGGAATGAGACGATTTGAAGAGAAGTATTACCAAAACACAAAACATCAGTATGAAGGCCAGTGGTACTCTTTGAAAAGGATTGGGAGTAGGTAAGTTACCTTGTTTCAGCTTTATTAAGCAAAGCCTCCCATCTGCTATCCAAGAGACTCAGCTGTTTCAAAATCTTCACTTTATCTGCAGGCTCTGCTGTTGCAGCGATTTTTTCTCCTTCTCGTTTGATTACCTCCACAGTAGATTTGCGGTCATCCAACAATCTTTGGAGAAGCTTGAGAGGAAACATTAAATATATATTTTTTAAAGGCAAGAGAATAATTGTATGAAAATAAAATGTGCCCTAAGTACATCTGATCTCTGACAACATACGTATTTTGTATGTATGTGCATACACAAGGATCTGAGAAGTGGGGTTTTTACATTTTACTTAATGATTCATTAGTATTGTGTCAGATATTGTGGTAGGGGCTTTACACAGTAGACAAAACTAACATTGATAAGGCCACTAGACTCCCTATTATTATTATTATTTTTTTTTTTTGGAGACAGAGTCTTACTTTGTTGCCTGGGCTAGAGTGAGTGCCGTGGCGTCAGCCTAGCTCACAGCAACCTCAAACTTCTGGGCTTAAGCAATCGTCCTGCCTCAGCCTCCTGAGTAGCTAGTACTACAGGCACACGCCACCAGGCCGGGCTAATTTTTTTTGTTTCTATTTTTAGTTGCCCAGCTAATTTTTCTGTTTTTAATAGAGACAGGGTCTTGCTCTTGCTCAGGCTGGTCTCGAACTCCTGACCTCAAGTGATCCTCCTGCCTCGGCAAGACTCTCTATTAATTTTTAAATATAAAATAATAGCACAGAAGTGCTGCTTAGGATAACCCCACCGAATCATGAGAAAACTGCAAAATCTCCGTTACTGTAATCAAATGGGAATGCCCTAAACAGTCAACAACCATCTGCCCTGTCGAGATACAAAAGATTCCTATAAATCATTTGCTGTTTTCAAAACCTTTTCCCATATTAAACAATCCATTACAGATAAGGAAGTTAAGACTCAGACCAAGTTCACAATCTAGCAAGGCTAAATCTAGAGGTTCTTGGCTCCTTTTAGTAGGTGGGACTAGCTCCTAAAATACTTTAAAGATGAAGACTAAAAAAGCTTTAAATGTTATTCCCGAAAGGAAGGTAGGGTAGAAGATCTCTAAAATCTCCAAAGCTGGCTAAATAAGACTAACATTTCAGGATTTAGCAGCAGAATCAAAATTCAATTTAATTCCAATTAAACATTTCAAGATGCCTGAAATGGAATGTTTGATATAGGAAGCAAGGACTCAAGATTACCTTGTTTTCATCTAATCTAAACATATTGTTCATGAGCAACTGCTATGCACATACACTGTGTTAACAGCAATGAAGAAGGCACAGGTGTATAAAATACTAACTATTTCATTGGCTCCTTAATTGACCCTGACTGATAGCTAAGGATTAAAGATTTGACAGTTACCCAGAAGTAAAAAGCTAGAAGAGTATTTTGAGATCAAGACCACCAAGGAGGTAAGAGGAACTTGTTTAAAAAGAAGGAAAAGAAACACAAACTGTATTGACACAGGCTAAAGTCATTATACAATCAAAGTACAACAGGTGGTTTGGGCAGCAAAGAGAGCTAATTAAGTGGATTACTTTCGATAAATGTAATAACATTTAATAACAAAGCTAGCAATTAAGAAAGCAGAATAACAAATGGGTTTTGTTAGCTAAGCATCATTTACTCTGGGAGTTAACTTCAAATTAAATTGTAAATGGTAGCAGTTATATTATTCAAAAATCACACATATACAATGTGTTTCCAGTTGTGTTTCCTAAATCCTCACCTTTCAATCTATTTCTAATGGGTATAATTTCCCAATACGCTAAAGTTTTCAAAGAATTTTTAGAGAGTTAGAAAAAATGCTTATCATCACTAATCATCAGGGAAATGCAAATTAAAACCATAATGAGATATCACTTTATCCTTGCCAGAATGGCCACTACTAAAAAGTGAAAAAACAATAGATGGCATGGATGCAGAGAGAAAGAAATCTTTTTATACTGTTGGTGGGGCTCCATATTAGCACAACCTCTGTGGAAAACAGTATGGAGATTCCTCAAAGAACTAAAAGTAGACGTACCATTTGACCCAGCAATACCACTACACAAAGGAAAAGAAGTCATCCGAAAGACACTTGCACTCAAAGGTTTATTGCAGCACAATTCACAATCGCAAAGATGTGGAATCAACCTAAGTGCCCATCAAGTCATGAGTGGATTAACAAAATACACACACACACACACAGTGGATTAACAAAATATATATATACCCACACACCTCTCTCTCTATATATATACACACATACACACACACACATACACATACACACACATACACCATGAATACTGCTCAGCCACAGTAAGAAATGAATTAATGTCTTTTGCAGCAATTTGGATGGAACTGGAGACCATTATCCTAAGTGATGTATCTCAGAAATGGAAAAGCAAACACCATATATCCTCTCTAATAATTTGGAACTAATGATAGGTGCACATGGGCACAGAGAGAAGTAAAAGTCATTGGAAATCAAGAAGAGGGAGAGAAGAGAAGGGGTAAAAAACCTACCAAACAGACACAATGAACACTATTCAGGTGATGGGCACACTAATAGCCCTGACTTAAGTATTACAAAAGCTATCCATGTAACAAAAACATCTGAACCCCTTAACATTTTGAAATTAAAAAAAGAAATTAAAGCAAGCAGTAAGTTTTCAATTAAAAAACTTTTGAGACCAAATGTGGAATGTTTTGTTGTTTTTCCTGTTTTTAATTGACAAATAATAACTGTATATATTTATGAGGGACAATGTGATACTTTGATCTATGTATACATTACATTGTTGAATGATTAAAACTAGCAAGTTAATATATCCATCACCTCACCTACTTATATTTTTGTGGTGAGAACCTTTAAAATGTACTCTTTTAGCAATTTTGAAATCTATAGTATATTAACTCTGCTAACTGAATAAGCCAGAGAAAGATAAATTTTAAATATTACATTTGAAAGTGTTTAAATGTAAAAATTTTTTTTAATAACTTCAATTTTTAAATTAAAGTAATTTTCTTTTCTTTTCTTTTTTTTTTTGAGACAGTCTCTCTTTGTTGCCCAGGCTAGAGTGAGTGCCATGGCATCAGCCTAGCTCACAGCAACCTCAAACTCCTGGGCTCAAGCGATCTTCCTGCCTCAGCCTCCCGAGTAGCTGGGACTACAGGCATGCACCACCATGCCCAGCTAATTTTTTCTATATGTATTAGTTGGCCAATTAATTTCTTTCTATTTATAGTAGAGATGGGGTCTTGCTCTTGCTCAGGCTGGTTTCGAACTCCTGACCTCAAGCAATCCACCCGCCTTGGCCTCCCGGAGTGCTAGGAGTACAGGCGTGAGCCACTGCGCACGGCCTAAATTAAAGTAATTAAAATAATCCGCTCCCTTCTGTTTATAAGTTCTACATGGAAGAAACCTTACCAGCGTCTTCCATGCCGGGCCCATTCCCACGTCATTTCAAGTCACGGCTGACAAACTACTACTGAAAGCATCATTAAGTGCTTCATACCTGACCACACCATCAGAAGCAAAAAAAAACTGTACATGTGGTCCCAAGTAGTTATCATTCCTCTAAAGATTGTGTTTTCCCAACTTTGTCCCATTTTAGTAGTGTCAAAAGTCACTACTAATGACTAATACATTCCTCAGCACATATGAATCACGTATTTGCCTCTTTAGTAACAGGTTGAACCATAAGAAACTCAATATTTAGTCTATAAAAAAGTCAATTTCATCTGGGTGTGGTGGCTCACACCTATAATCCAAACACCGAGGGCAAGGCAGGAGGATTGATTGAACAGCCAGGAGTTTGAGAACAGCCTGGGCAACATCGGGAGACTGCACCTCTACAAAAAATACAAAAATCAGCCAGGTGTGGTGGCATGTGCCTGTAGTCCCAGCTACTCCAGAGGCTGAGGCAGGAGGATCACTTGAGGCCAGGAGCTTGAGGTTTCAGTGAGCTAGGATGATGCCACTGCACTCTAGCCTGGGTGATAGAGCAAGACTCTGCCTCAAAAATAAAATAGAATAAAGTAGAATAAAATAAAATAAAATAAAATAAAATAAAATAAAATAAAATAAAATAAAATAAAATAAAGCAATTTCACATGGGTCAACCTAAACCTAATACAGAATGGAACAATGATACTGCCATCCAAATGTCATCTTGTCAATCAAGCCTTCTTTGACTATGAGTTTAAAATTGCACACATGCCCCCCTCCCTTGGAACACTTCCTGTCCCCCACACCCTTGTTCCACCATGTCCTGATTCCTTTCCCCATCCCTGCTTTATTTATCACTTGCTAACTTATCACAGTTCACTTACTTACTTTACTTATCATCTCTCCCTTCTTGTCCCTCCCTTCCCACTAGACTTTAAACTCAATGAGAAACTTTTATCTTTTCTATTTAGGAATGTATCCCTAGCACCTGGAACAATGCCTGGCCCACAGCAGATGTTCGATAAATATTTGTTGAATGACTAATAACAAAATATTGTCCATAGCAGCAATAACCAGTTAACTAGGATATACTATTACTAAAAAAAAAAAAGGGAGTCACAAGGCAAATTTTTACTTTCATTATTAAGATTTAATATGAAACACAATAGGAAAGCATCCATCGCTCACATACCTTTTGCTCTTGTATCTGGGCCTTCACCACTTTGAACTCAGCCGACGGGGGCTTCTGATTGGCCACGAGCTCCTCAGTGTCCACCATCCAGCTGAGCAGGGACTCCAGGGCGTCCTGGAACCTCCCACAGTGCAGCAAGGCCTCCTGCAGCTGGGCTGCTCGCTGAGCCACCTGCAAAGTGCCAGCTGTTTCAGCTTCTTATTTTGCACAATGAAATCTGCCCACAGGCCACCACGTTTCATGTTAATTTTCCCATATATTCACAAATTTCCTTTTCCTTTTCACTTAAAATTTACCCAAAGCATTGATGGTGGGCAGGACAGGAGTGGAAAGGAGACAAACTTTAGCTAGTAAGCCATGACAATAAGGTTACCATTACAATAGTCAATGCAGAAAGACTAAATCTTTGAGACTTTTGGAAATGTCCAATATATTTATGATTAGCAATGATTCAAATATTTTAAACTTAAAGTAGGAAACAATGCATTAGTCAGTTTTATCATTTTCATTTTTTATTTCCTAATGGTGAATATCAGGGATAATGATTTTGAAACAACTAAGATTAAAAGAAACTATGATAGCAGAATCACAATGATATTTTGGTAGGCAAAATAACTACCACGTATCCAATTAAATTCTGCTAGCTCCAAGCTCTGAAGTCCTTTTTCAACAAACCAGGGCCTTTGTCTTCTAGTAAATGGACTCTCTGTGTCCCACACAGAGATATCCTATTGCCTTTCTCATAGATCTTTTCCTTTTGGACTGAAAAAGTAGTTGGCAAGACATTTTAAGCACTATGGAATATATTTACACCTGACACTGCATTCTAATTGTGTCTAAAGGAGCACTATAATGTGAATCAGATTTTAAAGAGTGATAAATGTAGTTGTAAGATCTGGCAACTACTTAAGATTTCAATGTATGGAATACAGCAACAAAAATCACCACACCACCACCGCCAGACATGCACCGCCATCCCATAGCAATTTTCTGATAATTTATGTTAAGTGAAGAGCTGCCTGCCAATGTCTGTCAGCATTGTCTCCCTAAGACATCAGAGCATTATTTCTTGCACTTTCCCTCCTGAACATTTGGAAAAATGTGGGATTACGTCTTATAAATAAAATAGTATTTGAAGATGACGGTCTATAGTAAGGGTAGCAAACCCTTCATCCAGGACTGATAGAGAGACACACAGCCTCTTTTGCTTATATAGAGTTGACTTATATAGTGTGAAATTAGTCAGCAACATTTGAAACATCAGAAGGTTTCAGATACGTGAGATTTCCATGTTCTTTTGAAAGTAAGTAGACTATTTGGCCACAGTGAGCCGATATGCCTACACGACAATGATTGGCTGAAACTAAGTAGCTGCCTGTACCCTTAGAGGTGCATGTGATCCCCTCAACACAGAGCCACATATCATGGCCACCTGCCATCATCCTGCACTGTTATATCTGCAGCCATGTCTCTATCAAAGTCAAGAAAATAGCAGGGAAAGGCCCTATCTCACCCACTCCCCTTCTTTCATATATATTCCTTACCAGCTCCTGTGGGCATCTGAGTTTGAGCCATCCAGTTTATAGCAAAATGAAAAAGTAGACGTGTTTAGAAAAGTTTGACTACTATAAATATGATTCAGGGGCACAATAAATGATTGTGAATAATGACCAACAGAAATGACAAGGAAAGGGATGAGAAAATTACCTTCTTATTGAGAGTCTTCCACCGTGCATTGACATCATCCAGGTCATGCTCCAACCCCTGAGTGCTGGTGTTTTTAGCAGCACTCTGAATAAGGCCTTGACCTAACCAGTTTACATCCTGCTGCTTAACCTGCAAGGGTTCAATCTCTTCTTTCTGGAATACCTGCAGTTGAAAGAGCAATAATTATATGAATTATATTATCTAACAATCATCAAATACATAACAAGCATTTCTTCAGTCATTAGGTTGTAGAAACTATCAATTATTTCAGAGATAAAGATAATTTTTGTTGCCTCTTCATAGATCATAACTACTTTATGAGTAACAGTAAGAAAGTGAACTAAATATAAAGTCATAGCATATCAAAAGCACTCAGGAATATCAAAGAATGATAGTCTAAGTGCATTTAATCAGATTATTTATAAAACCAAGAAGACAGTATATATCCTCTCTTTATTGCTTCATTGTTATAGCATGAGGAATTTCCTATTGTCCCAATTTAACTGTAGCAAAAGATTTACAGAAAATGTGAAGGAGCAAAATGATAAGGTGGGACCAAGATGAGCCTTACTGGGCAAGGAATCCTTACAGGTACTCCTAAGGATAGCTACTGCTAGCTGCCACCTGAAGCTTGAGACTCAAATTGGAGATAGAGAATCATCAACAAGAAGATGGGGTAAGCCAAGTGGCCAAATACACAGCTTGGCAGGAGGGCCAAAATACAGAGACAGGAAAAGGAAAAAGACACAGGCATGTGCTACAATAGCATGGATCCCTGTACATTTAGCCCCTCAATGCTTATCAAGATGCCCATGGGCTTGCAAGAATATGAAGATGTTACCCCATGAATCTGATCACACACGTCGCCAGCACAGCCACTCTGCTTACTCTTGGGTCACTGCCAGTGGTTTCCTAGTACTCCCCCCTCACCTGTCCATCACATCCTACTTATGGTCCCCCAGTTGTCTGTGACTGGCAAAGGCTCTAACATGTTAGATTACAATGCAAGCTCCATGAAAGCAGAAATATCTGTTTTCCTTGTAAGTAGCTCTACATGCTGGGCCCACCATGGTACCCAGCATGCAATATGTACCCAATACTTACTTGCCAAATTAGTATCAGTATAGAAAAGTTGTATTTCTATCTTAGGTGGATGGCATCAACCTCGTAAAAGATAATACTAGGGGTAGACACATATCATTTCTTTCATAGATAACATAAATGTTTTTAATACAGGGCTTGGAAGATGCTATGAGGAAAACCAATTATTTTTAACTAAGGAAGGAAAGTTTCAGAGAGATATTAAGGTAAATATGGTTTGGGAGTCTAAGTTATTGTATAAAAGGACACTATATAAATATAGCAATGATTGGACAGTTAATCAGGATATATGGAAACATAATAAAGGCAAATATTAAAACAACACTTAAGAAAAAATTATAGGCACAGTATGAAAAATAATTTTGATAGATATAGAGACTGCCAGAGGCAAACTCTCCAGACTCTGGTCCAAGGCCTTGCATACAGGATACTCCTGTGTTTCTGTATAAATGAGTAAATTAAGGAACAGCAAATAAATTAATAATCATTTCCTCTAAAGTCTCCTTCTAGCTAAAATCCCATGCTGCTTCTTCCACAGAAAACCCATATAGACAACTTCCATACTGGCTAATTGTTTCTATATAACAATACTCAATATAAAAATCAATTATACATAATCAAATATATATGATAAGATTCTCCCAAATTAGTGAGAAAAAAGAAGTTTTCAGAATTTTTCAAAAAGGTATAAGTCAATGGAAAGTTGCAACAGGTGGTGAAGACATTATATTATTGGCATTATAATTCTATTTCTTTTCTATACCACTAAGTTACTACTTCTAGAAACTAATAGCTTTGGATAAGCTTTACTACTTACCAAAAAGTAGGGCCATAGAGAAACATTTTTAATTTAATGTTACATTTTTAATTCCAGGAACTTGTATGATAAATAAGGATTCAAAAAAAGTTTTATTCTCACTCTCAGATAGTTTTCAGGACAAAAACCTAATAATAATGCTCTTGTAAACTGCTTTAACCTCTGATCTTGACTTTAGATTAATTTTAGAGGTATATGTCAGAGCAGGTCTACGTGAGTTTGGTAATTTTCCAAAGGGCCACAAAAAATATACTAAGAATTTAAAAAGATAACTACCAAAGAGCATATATTTCTAAGATTTAATTGCTTTCTATGAATAAACTGAAAAATCCTTTACAGGAAAAAAAGATCTTTGCTAAGCTTTTAAATCAACATGTCATTTATCGTATGCAGAAGGAAAAGGCATAACTAACAGAGCAATTATTTCACAGATTGAGAAGAGGAACTTTTCTGATATTGTCTAAATTCCTCATCTCTCAGTAGTAACAAAACACCTATGAAAAGGGATCCCTGCCCCCAATCTAACCCATAGCACACAAACACGAAGAGAAGCTTAAAATAAAATAAAATTATCTCTGAGGCAAAGTTTACCAGAAGAGTTTAGTAAAAGTACCAAAATAGCTGAACTTCAATCTGAGTGGGAAGAAAAAAATTACAGGCTTCACTCTACTTATTACAAGGCTGCACCCTTAACTTTCTTACCTCATTCACCACTCAACAAAAAGTTAGGAGATATAACGCCTGCAAAATACCACATAATAACTCTACTCTCACGTGCAGAGCTCCTGAGAGAAGTTTTTCAGCACATTAAAAAGTCCTTAATTTGGGTTAAGTACTTCGTAGACCACAATATAATATTGTGTTTGTACTTTCATGACTAAGTCTGTTCAAGCTTAATAAATCCAATATAGCAGCCCTTAAACGGCACTGTCTTAAACCACAATTTGTATAAAAGCCTAACATTAACATAAATTCACAGTGGAGACATTCTAAAGGACAGAGACTAGCCACCCTCTGCACAATCCATAGCAGGACCCTAAACAGCTGGGAATAATCAGGCCTCTCAAAACAGTCCCTCATTAATTTGTTATAATGATCACCTTATCAACAAGTGGCATCTTTTGCGGGGTGCTAGTCACACCCCCCCCCAAAGAAAAGCCTAAATGTGATCATTATTAGAAACACTAGTGACCACTCTGAAAGAGAACCACAAACTTTTGGCATTGCAGAGTTTCACATTTCCATTAATTACCTGAACCAACTGAAAGCCATTGCAGACTGTATCCAATATGCCTGCCTGGGCCACTGGTTTTCTGGGCTCTGCTTTCTTGCTTCCTGGTGTGAATTTCAGGGAGCACTCCATATGAATCACCTCCATCTCCTGATCAGAAACGGGAGCCTCCACATCTTTGGGTGCTATGTTGAATTCTTCTGAATCATATTGTGTCAAGAGAGACACATTTTCTACTAAACTTGTGCTGCCACCATCGACATCATTATCCCCCAGGTCTGTGTGAGAGAGATCTAAATCCCGAGGGGAAGCCTTCATAAGTTCCCTACTGGGTGCTGTGAGTTGGGATTCCCCTGGTCCGTATGTTTTCCCCTCTTCTCCAAGGCTAGAAATATGCTCGTTTTCTCCACTTCTTGGCATACTTAATGCATCATACTTAACAGTACTCTCTTTCATATCATTCTGCAGGCAACAATTTTCATCACGGATTTCCCTCTGATGATTCACACTTTTCACTTCCTCTAATGGAGAAATATCATGTAAAATCATCTTGAAGTTTTCATCAGGGTGGACACTTCTACACGAAAGCAGTGGGATTTTCTGTTCGCTAATGGAATTAACAGAAAAAAATGGCCTATATTGCTCTGTTATATGAATATCTTCAGCAGAAGACAAGCTTCTAATTCGTGACTGGTCTCCAGTTAAAATGCCCTGTCTTTCTTCCCTCTCTGCTGGAGGGCTACATAAACCAGAGTCATCCTCCTCGGAAGTTAGAGAGTTAGTACCCCATCTGCACTTGCTGCCCTTGGCAACAGTATCTGACATATCAGTAGGTTCAACAAAAGAGCTTTCACTTTTGTTTGCATAATCCATAAAATTGGCTGGGACAAACATTCGCCATGACCGTCTATGCTCTTTCTTTTCTGCATGAGATTTGGCTTTGGGAAATCCTGTGGTCCGAATGATATCACTATTTAGTTTGAGTGCATCAAAGATCATCTTTTCATCTAGTTTGTTAGCTTCACGACCTCTCACCTCAAACACACTGGAAGAAGTAAGGGCACCATTAGAGCATAAAGAGCTAACATCCAGTGTTCTGTGACTGTAGGGTAAAGTCCGATCTGTAAAATGCCTGGAAGACAGGCTGCCTTTTGAACCAGAGTCTATCTGTTCATTTAGTCTAACAGTATCATAGATGGACCGCTGTGGGACATAACAGTCTTCGATATTGAGGTCCTCCTCTTCTTCGCCCTTCCCTACACAAGGGGGGTTCTGACGTAAACAGTCTGGTCTGCTGAGTGGCTTCCCCATTTTGTAGATAGTTAAAACAAATATTGCAGCTCTTGATACAAAAAATAAGAAATAAGATAAAGCATCTTTCAAGAAAGTATACTTCTGAACAGAGCTAGGAAGTGTCTTCAGCATAAAGACATATGCTCAAATAATATATGTCACATGAGGTGTTTAAGGTCATCAGCAGTGCATCAGTATAAATGCAACTATCCTTTTACCTGGTTGATTTTAGGACGATTTTAAAAAATAAAGTGCATCAAGAACAGAGAACAGAAATCTCCTTTGTCCACCTCCCCAGATCCCAAAGTTCCCTTTCACACACTCCAAAACACAGAAAAAAAAAACAAAAACAAAAACAAACAAACACACACTTAACAGTGGCTCAAGCACTCAGAACATTCCATTGTCAGTCCATTTCCCTTTTTAGTCTAATTTTGCATCTGAGATTTCCAGATTAAAATTTCCAAATGAGCAAGCATTTTAACAGGCTGAATGTTAATTTCGGCAGAGCTGTGGTTAACTGTAATCCACTTAACGATGGCTTGCAAAACTCCATCTCCTTTATAAATAAACCACGCTTCAGAAACTTAAAAGGCAAACACAGGGACCGTGTATTGTTCAGATCAAGGCACAGCACAAATCCTCAGAGGAAAATAAGTCTCACGTTGGTAAGAAAGTTAAATTTTTTCTTTCACTTTTTCATAGGGTGTGAGTAGCTAT